GAGTAATTAAACATATCAAAGCATATTTTGACCTTGAAAACATCGCTTCAGAAAACGCAAAGAAAAATAGGGAGGCAGGGAGAAACATAGAGAAGAACAGAAAGTTCGTTACCTCGTGATGACTTGTTTACCAAATCTCTTTTCGTATCGGGCAGTGATGGAAAGTGAGGCGACGAATGAGCAATCAGATATCACAGTCTGAAAAGTGCAAAAATTGCCAGTAATTCCGCAAAATGTGCGGCGCTCTTCGGCTTAAGTGGGGGAGGCGTCTTGCACTTTCGTAGGTTCCTGTTGCTAACGAAAGTGCAAAATGAAAGTACAATTGAAAGTGCAAAATTGCTCATGCCAACTAGACAGTAGCCTGTAAACTCTGAAGCTGTGAAATGAGTCAATTCAGCAACAGGATTTCACTCCTAACGAGATGGCCTCTCCAGGCTTCGCTCAGTAAAGTGTTGTCCTTCCGCTGAGCCGAACTGCACCAAATATTGAACTGAAGGGAAAGCTATCGAAATTCAGAACCCCTGGCTTCGAATCCAAAACTAGAAGTGCATACGAATTTGTCCAAAGTGAAATCCATCAGGATATAAAACTGTCACCAAAGTCAAACAAGTTCCACCAGAATAGACTTTTGGCACTAAGAGACCGTTGAAGCTGTCCGTATTTTAAATTTTTAAGCAAAGTGCCTACAGAAATTCGTGCAGATTCTTGAAAAAGTGGGAAACTGTAGAAGAAAGTGTCTGTTTAGCAAGGCTGGTAACCAAGAAACAGTCAGGCACAGTTCGCTCTTTGAAAGTTGTCACAAGAATGCTGAGAAAGAACGCAACCGCCCGGTATGCGGGAGATGAGGGTTCGAGTCCCGTCCGAGGTCTGATTTTTGCCAATAACTTAGCATTCTTGTGATAACAGTCAGGATGACTCTTCTTTCCTTATGGTTTCTGCAAAAAAAATTGTCCGAACAGGTCCCTAATCATTCTCCTAGGATGCTGACTTTCCATTTGAAATGAAGAATGATTTTTGAGTGAAGCACATGTAAAAGAGGAAACCATAAGAATCTCAATCTGCCAAATTTAGCCCAAGTTATCAGTGATGCAAAAGCACTTTTACAACCAAATATATCAATTGCTTTCCCATCAACCCAATATCAAAATAAGGAACAGTAAAAAAAAGGTTTATATTTACCTGCTTTATAGTACCACTGTCAATGGTGCCTATAAGTTTGGGTTCCTCGAAAATTTCATGGGGGCGCAACCAAGCCTTTATTCGCTTCTTCTGCTTTTCTGTCAAGGAAAGTTTACCATCTTTGTCACTGCAAAGGATCCTTTAAACAATGTTTCAATAAGCACAAAAGGAAAAAAAAGAAAACTATATACCTACGTGAATGGCATCGAATAGTTAAATTTCTCTCTGAGGTCAACGGTCAAAAAAGGCACATATTTACGACCATTTATATATGATGTTGTTGCAAGCACTGCGAGCTCTTCTTGTGTCAGACCAACAGCTGCAGCCTGCAATAGTGTTGCATTAACTAGGAGAATCCAACTGACCAACGCGAAAAGTGTGGAGTTGACTGAGAATCTCTAAGCTGAACTGACTTTCTTTCTCCAAAGACCCGTGAGATGCATATACGATGGCGGGTTTACAAACTTATAGCCACCAACAATGACCTCCAGGACAAGAAAAGGAGAAGCAACACCCATGAAAACCCCTGGCAGCCCTCTGCACGATCTCTTCAGACCTGCCCGTTTTATTTCTGCAGAGCGATATGCTGCTGTCTCTACCTCACTAATCCTTTCCAATGCTAATATCATCTAACAGTGAAGAAAAAACGAAAAAAAACAGTGTAAAAACCGAACTCGTGACAGAAAATAGCCTTTGACGTTTGGTGGCAAAACAATTAGAAAAGGCGGCGTCAGAACGGCCACTTATGAGGGCCGTAGCGCTTCGTTACTCACTGTGGAGCCGTGAAATCTCAAAGAATGAGTATCGGTCTACTTGCACAGAAGACGCGTGCGACTTGCTTGAGCGTGCGGACTATATCCTTGCCCAAAGCACAGGTTTGTCAGAAGGCAGACGACTATAATTTGGTGTGGCATGGCCTCGCAGACATGGTCGTGGTGCCCCATGTCCTCATCGCTGACTATAGAGAAACATAGCGGAGAAAATAAAGATGAAATAGTGAGTCAGAAACATTTCAATGAAAAAATTCTGCCCAAAAATTGCCAGCTAAGTCAAGGGACTGTTTAATGAATTAGAAGAGTGTGAAATTCACAGTACCTTACGTGCAGTGATAGGCGATCGAGACGGGCTGCTGCCCCCAGGAAACGGGTCGGCTGCCACGTTGAGGCGAGATAATTCTGCAAACATAGAGAAAAACTTTGTGAAATACTGTATAGAGAGGAGAAAAAGTTTACCATCCACTGGCACATCAGGGAGGTTTTCGGTGAGTGCCTCAATCCGTTTTCGTTCCTCAACTTTTTTGAGATGTTCGACACGCTCTAAGGCACTATTGGCAATTTTACGTAGCTTCTGCCGAAGCTCCTCTTCTGCACACTTTTCGCCCTGAACATCAGTGAAAGCGAGCAAATTCAATTAAGGGAACAAAAGTGTATTCTATTGCGAGTAAACAACTATACCGCTTGAATGCATGTTTGAATTGCTTCTGAATACCAATCAATAGCCAAGGAGCAGTGCCCTGACTCATCCAGCAATTGAGCCTTCAGCACGGCGAATTCAGCTTTCTCTAGTAAAATTCTGCTTGGAGTCTTCGTGGTCTAAAACAAGGAAAGTAGAGATTATTAATATTTCCAAAAAACAAAGATCAACGCCTTGAACAACCTTAGCTAACTCCAGTAGACGAGGCAGATCTTTTTTCAAGAATTCAGCACGTTCCACATATTCAAGGGCATTTTTACGGAAAGCTGGTGAAGCCTGGAAAAAATGTTTGCCTTAATAAGTGTCCTTTTACTTTCTAGAAAGCTCATATAAACTCATTAGTAGCAAAGTGCAGTGCAAGTGTTTGTAATGATTGAACTGAATGCGAAAGAGACCTGGCGTACATGTCTAGCGTAGTGATTTATGAGCCGCACATTCACATCATTCACAGTCTCTCTCTCGCTACGTAAAGCACCCCTGTGGCGAATAAGAGAGCTTGTTTCAGTGATTTTTTTTATGGGGAACCTCTTTTTGGAGTTTTTCTTTTTCTCTCGAATCAAAGGAAGCCCTTGTGAGTCAAGTAAACTGAAGAAGAAACTGAAAATTCCGAGTTCTTCAAGGGCTTTTACAGGACGGCTTATTCAAATCACTTTTATATCATTACCACGTTAGCTGAGGTATGTATGAACCACCCTCCAAGAAAAAAATTTCTAGTGCAATTTCAGGCAGGCGCGATTCATACCCTGCGTCAGCGTTTTGAGCGTTTTTGAGTGACTAGGAAAGCATAGGTAGCGATCTAACATTTTGAACGCACGACAGCGTTTTCAGCCACTGCCCGCGAAACACTCAAAACGTTAGATCATATTGATATATTCATAGCCGTTCGGAACGCTGACGCAAAGTATGAACGTAGCCCCAGAAACGGACGAGAATGAGTAGTATTGCGAGCTCTTTCAAATCGAATCGTCAAAGAAGAGTATATTGGCATGAATGCAACGCGAGAAGAGCCGTTGCTGTGAGCGTAATGACTGACAAAACGGTAGCACTACAGCATCACCAAACTTCCAAAAAAAACATTCTCACGTCTAGCGCCAAGCTGGGCTTCCAAGGCTGACGTTCACTATTTGTATTGCACTGAATCCCCTTCTAATATTACCTCAAGGAATATTGATTCAAAGTTGACCTCTACGATGGCTTTCTGTGGAAATTCAGAACATGTGAAAACTGTTAAACAAGAAGAAATGCTTTTCGAAAATTTCATTATATGAGCATCTGTTACTTGTTTTACTTTTGATGTTTATTATGGTTTGCAAACTGTAGCAGCAGAAATACAATGCCGAAATAATCTTAATGAAACCACTTCGAAAAACAGTTGAAATACGAGCACAAAGGAAGAATGTCTCGACTTCCCTGTACTGCCTCTTTGTTTGAAAGTCATCATATCAGAATATCCCCGTTCTGCTGTTCATTTATTTCATATTTACTCATCTGTCAAGCACTCCGTGTGGTCGACATGGGGATGAAAGTGTTAGTAATAAACTACAAATCAAACCGAACCGCCCGGCATCGGATTACAAACCAAAGGAAAAGAGAGACGACATAGGGCGATGCCACACTGTGACAATGAGAAGCAGGAAATAATAGGACGGGAAATGAACAAGGGAAAACAACTGGTCGCAAAGAGAAAACACTTCAAAAATTAGATGGTCCATTTCGCCTCTTCCTCAGACGAACAACGTCATTTCGTTAACCTCCCCAGTACATGCAAGCAACTAGTGCCTGATCTATGTATAAATACTATCTGATATTTTCATTACACTCAAAAATAAGAGGGTAATACCTTACTGTTGGGATAAGTCAAAGAATAATTCAACCAAAAGTAAACAGTCACATATAATTTTTTTGCAGCATAGCGAATTGCTATCAGCTGACAGCGCATCTTTCGAGTATTCAATCGATAACAACAAAAAAAGGAAAAAGCTATTTGGAAACAGATGCTCCTACCTTTTTTGACTGAACGAGGGCAAGGATACGATCAGCAGCTTCTCCATAGCAGTAGATGGCCTCCTCGTAGCGTTGAGCTTGATCGAAGGCAATAGCCCGTTGGGCTAGCTGCATCGCAGACGACGTCGCATCGCCGTAGTCGCCCATCGCCACTGGCGCCTCGTTCCGTACCCTCCTGCCCGCCCCCTGTGCCCCACGTGGATACCCACGGTTCGCATCAATCAACACGGCGCCTGTCAATAGCACTTGCGAAAAACGCCTCAATAGCACTGATAATCGAAAAAACGCTGATTCTGCTTAGGCTATGGAAACCTTTCACTTAATCAAAATTCAAGCTGGAAAATCAGTTTATTTATCAGTGTGTAGGTATTCATTCAAAAGTTTTCTTCACGTTCTGTGGAAATCGGCTCAGTGAAAGTAGTGTTGCGACTAACCCCCGCCACAACACATGCATCCCAAAGCAGGCTCTACTTATTCAAAACAAGTTCTTATTCACAGAACTTATTCACAAACGTTGCTTCACCAGCCACCCAATCATCTTTTATAACACTCGCCCTGCAACAGGTGCGAACAAAATGGCCAAATGTAAGACTTTTCCCTCCCTTCGATCCCTTTTTGCATGCGCCATGTATTTTATTGCCATTTGGAATCGCGGTGACTTGTTCAATGCGATATGGCCTATCAGAGCAGGGCACATCCCGTCCTTTGTCCTCACGACCCTCCCCCCCTTTCCCCATCCCTAATCCCGTCCTTCGTCCTCACGACCCCCCCCCATCCTACCTATTACTTTGCCAGATTTTCCGGAAGACGGGCAAGAGAATCGTAATTTGCCGCTCCGCCGCGCGCGGCGATGGGCGCGGCGTTTTCTTAACTCGTGTTAACCTGTCGACTGGAGCACCGGACTTCATGTAGACCAGACATGACTATTTTCGGTTCTGAATTGCCTGTTGTCGCCATCTACTACCTGGAACCATCGTCATTTGCGGGCGCGACGTCGCACGCGGCCCTACTAGCGCGGTGAATTACGATTCTCTTGTCACATACCCAACTTTCCCAACCTTCCCACCACATCTACCCAAGATTCCAAAAAATTTCCAGTTTTTTCCCCAGAATTTTGCCATCGGGCGGAGGTATATAGCACCACTAAAACGGGAAGAACGGTGAAAAGTCGCAACGCGGCAGGTTCTCTCAGAGGCAAATACGTCCCCCTGGAGTTCTCCCACCGGTGTGAATACCGCCCGTGGAAAAGGAAAGA